CGCTGATGGGTACGCTGCTGGCGTTTGGCATGTATCGTATTGTTAAGTTGGTGGAGTATGAGACTGTCAATCCGGGGCAGGACTTTGATGACCATGAGGCTGCGTTGTTTAATCCGCCTGAGGACCCGGAGCATGCTGGGCAGGTTGAGCGGCCGAATGTTGCGGCTCATGCTATGGCGGATGCGATTCGCAGGACTAATTCTGGGTTCAATGAGAATGGCCAGTTTGGCATCGACTCGATGCTAGAGAGTAAGGACGACGAGAAGAGCACGCCACCGCGGTCGCCACAGAAGGAACAAGAGCTGTTGGAAAGAACCGGTCATGCACCAGCTGCCAACGGCGAACGCCACGAATGTTGTTAGCCCTCGGTTCTTACGTTCCCAGCAGTGTGTGCTGAGATAGTACTATGTTTCCATTTCCATTCTAGCGTTTACAGCGGGTGCGAGTGCTCATTTACAATTCAATAGCGAATCTCATTTCTTACACTTATGCTGCGCATAAGCATAACCTCATCTCTCCGCCTTGCATGATGCCGCGCCGTGCTTCTCCTAATCTGGCTTCGGTCTTGTATACGAGGAACCAGGCTAGACAGTGTGCGATTAGGATTGCGAAGAGTAGGATGAAGAGCAGGATGGCTAGGATGGCGATGCATGTCCAGAGGGCGGACATGGCGCTGGGTTTGCGCTTGCTTTTCGGCTTTTGTGGTGGGGGTTCTGAGACGGTGTCGTAAGAAGGATATTGCGGAGTTGGAGTAGATCTATGTGCCGGTCGGGGAGTGGCCTCGCGATTTGGTTCGGGTATCTCGTTGTTCGGCGCTTGGTCGTACGTATACCCGCCATCCCCATCCGGAGGAAACAACCGAATCGCCACGCCCTTCGCCTCCATCTCCCTCCCCGTCTTCTTCGGCGGCGTACTCGGCACATCGAACCCCTCACTCCCCATCCCCGTCCTCATTCCCATCCCGAATCCCCTCCGTCCCATCCCCATCCCTCTCACCGGCGGATCCCAAGGTTTCCTCCCACTGTCCCTGCCATCCGCCCTCTCCTTCCCCTTCCCTTTCCCTTCTACCTCCACTCTCAACACCTTCCCCGGCTGTCGATGGATCTCCTCTGACCCCGTTCCCGTCTCCCCTCCCTCGTCCTCCTGTCCCTCCTCTGATCTGGCTCTACTATCCGCACCGTCCGTCGCTTGCCCTCCCCCTTGTTGTTCTTGACTTCGCGGCGTTGGGGCTGGCCTTCGCGGTCGTAGGCGCCGTCGTAGGGATGGTGGCCGTTGGTGTAGCGGGGATCGGTTTTCTGCGGAGTCTGAGCGGAGGTGTTGGAGTTGGGAGTACAAGCGGGAGGGTTGGAGATGGGGGAATAGGCGGGGGAGTTGTACCGAGAGGATTGGGAGACAGATTGCTAGGAGGCAGGCTAGGAAGAGGATGCTCATTGCTACCAAAACTGGGGGCGGCGCGGGTGGTAGGTTGGTGTGAGTCTGGGGGTGTTGCGCGCGCGTGTAGGTGTGTGGTTCGTTGTGTAGGTGTGTGGTTCGTTGTGTAGGTGGTTATCGTGAGGAGGTGTAGTGTAGATTGTTTAGGTTCCGTGTAGTGATAACTCAAAGGGCGTCGGGTTGAGAAGAGATATGTCGCTCGATATGGTTTGAGGCGAGGTGAGATAGTCCACACGTGAGGGTTGTGCCGTTCTTGCCCTCGAAGACGAAGCCACGTGTTGTGGTGGCTCGCGACTGCCATATCGCAGCCTCGGTGCTTCTAGCATCCTTTTCCACAAACTCGAGCTTCATTACGCACCTCTCGGCTCTCCAACTCACCCCAGTCTCTCTCATCTGCTATTCAAAACTCTTGCATACTCGCGTAAAACCCGATATACGTATGTCAGCACGACCTCGGGTTCAAACACGTTCCCAATTTGCATCAGTAGCCTTTAGCGCCATGTCAACATAATCATCGTCTTCGCGCTTAGCTATCGCTCCATGCGCGTGCTCATGATCAAGTGGCTCGTTTTCGCCCTTTAAACCACGTTACGCAACCACTGGCAGTGAGCCCTTCTCCTCTTCCGCGTGGCACGCACTACATTCTCCCTAGGGCGGGATGAGCATGCTCACCGGCTACCCATCAATCGAGGATCAAAGACTGTGGGTGTCGCGGGTTGTGTCTGCGCATGCGGCCGGGTAAATGCTATGGATAGTCGGAAGAGTTTCATGTGCGTTGCGATGGGTAGGTGGGAGAGCTGAGGGAATGTCATTGTGACGGTGGTGCGAGGGAAGTGTTTGGTTAAACCGAGGTAGAGTGTAGGGTACAGTATTTTAGCTGGAGTGCGTTGGGTACGATGAGAGGTCGTTGTGTTGTTCTTGGCGGAGTGCAGCATCTCGATTACGCGACTGTGAAGGGAATGTGATACTGGTTAGGGTATACGAGGTAGTACAATATTAGTCTACCACAACGACTTCCATAACTCTGAATACGGCGCTCTTGAAGGATGAGTCCTAGTCTTCCATCTTGTCATCGTCCGCTTCATCGTATTCGACTTCCGCTGTATCACCCTCTTCATATCCACCACCTTCACCATCCTCATCTTCACTGTCCGACCCCGATCCTTCGCTCTCGCCCTCACTCCCAGGATCAAAGTCATCATCCTCTTCCTCGTCATCCTCCTGATCCTGCAACTCCCTCTCCGCCTTCTGCAGTTCGCTCTCTTCTTCCTCACCACCGGCCTCCTCGACCGCTGCGCCGTTCTCCTTCTTGCCACCCACCTTATTTACATTGAGCTTCTTTGCGCGTCGGTCCGCAGCCAGACTAGCATCTTGCAAACCGTGTTTCTGGACGTATTCGTTTATGCCGGCGAAGTCTGCCTGGTCGAGCATGCTGAATTCGATATCCCCGGAGTTGGGCGTGGTGAAGACAACGTTGAAGGTGTTGCGCAGTACATTGGTGTAAGATATGCTTTCTATGGAGGCGAAGTCAAAGAAGGCGAGGGGCTTCTTGAAGCCGTAGAGGATGCCTACGGAGGTAAAGAATAGGTAGCCTGGAGTGTGTTAGCAGGAGCTCTGTGCTGTGGAGTTTGAGTATAACGTACCCTCTTTGCTTCCCCTGTGCGCCTTGACGTGATATGCCTTCTCGCCCTTCCTGTGACTTTCAGGCACTGCGCTCGCGAACTCATCGGCATCGGGGAAGATGACCTCCTTTCCGGTGCCTGCTTGAATTAAGCAATGGTGTATCGCCTCAGCCATGGGTGTTGGCCCTGGGTCTTCGCCTTCAACGATGTTCTTCCCTGTCGCCTCCTCGAAGGTCCATACGATTGGCTCTGGCGGTGAGCCCTTCAATTCTTCTGGCATGGGCGCCACTCCATCGCCGTGCACTGGTATAATGACGAAATGATGCTGTTTCTTCGCCTTCTCGGGTATGGGCAGGCAGAAGACCTGGTCCACGTCCTTCCACGCGATGGCAAATTCGACGTTGCCGTTTGCGCCAATGGCTCTTATGCCGCCATCCTTCTTGTCGAGTAGCTCGAGGGTGAACTTCTTCCGTTGTGGTATCGCGACGCTGACGGCTGGGTAGGCCTTGAATGCTTTCGTCGAAGTGCTCGTGAGGCTGCCTCCTGTTTTTGATGCGCCGTTCTGCGGGGCAACACTCTCTTCGATCTTGCGCTTCTTAGTCGCTGGCTCAGCGGCGGGTTGCGAGGCTTGATTGAGGATGTATGTCGAAATGTCGCGGAAAAGTGTACTTTGTGTTGGGTTTTGGTCTTGGGGCATATTAGCAGAATTCGAGTACTGGACAGATATCGCATACCTATCGCGGCGTGTACGCGCTTGCGCAGCTCGTGATTGCTAGCGAAAGCGACATCAATTTCCTGTGGATGGGGTACGGGCGTCGGTACTGCTGCCGGCGCAGGGGCAGGCGCAGATGGTGCAGGCGCTTGCACGGGTACAATGGGTGCCGATGGCTTGTTGTTGAGCGCTGTAAAAGCCATGGTGGGTTGCAGAGGGGAATTGGTGTTGTTGGTTGAAATGTCTCGTCGACGCGTCGACGGCTGATCGCGACTCCTCGACATTTAGCGCCCAGGGTCTGACATCACCGCCGCTCGCCATCCTTCACCACCTCACCCTTCTCTTCACCTCCCACATCTACGGCTGACTCCCCACTCTGCTTTCACATGCTGTACCCGCAGCGCAAACTGCACAATGCACAATGCACAATGCACAATATACCGATCTCTAGCAACACCAAGAGTTTGCTCGCCACAGCGTCGCCCTCGACTGAAACTCTCCATAGACCCTCTCACTATAGCCTACAGTTTGTACCGTCTCATCTGTCTGACGATTACTGAACCCGTGGACAATAATAGACACAGGACGCGTCTTCGCGATGCAAATCGTTATGCGGAGGATCGTCACAGCGTGCTGGGTATTCCATGCATGTTCCATGCGACCCATGGACAGATCAACCTCTATCGGCTTTGATATATTGACAACACCCGCTTCAATCGCCATGAAAACTACGCGAACACCCAAGCGATATCTCTAACACATAATAGTCGGTTTTATTGCGACGTGCGAGAACCATCATCGGTGCAGTAGGTGGAGCGTGCGCGTTGCGCATCTCACACACTTCCCGTCGCGACACATCATGACGACCAATACACGATGAACCGACCGTTTGACACCTGTCAGTTGCATTGCGATTCATCTACAACAGGCCGGAAATGTACTGGACCGTTCAAGCGAATCCTTGACGGATGCCACGAAGCAGCCCTATGCCGGTAGGATAGCATTGACAGGCCGATAGTCTCTCAGCAGACATCATAAGGTAGGAGTAGATGCGGTACGGGCGACTATCCAAGCATGCGTCTCTTGGGACCAATGTCTCGGCGGTGAGCAGATGTTATGTTAATCTTCTGTCTCCTTGACATCAGTCAATCAACGCCTAATACTCTCGCTCGTAGCATACTTACCTTTCTCCACTTCGTCCTTCTGTGAAGGGTCGAAACGGGATCACGGCCAAGATGACGAAAGTCAAATTCACCCTCCCGCCGGCAGCCGACAAGGTCACATCGCTCTTCCACACCAAGCAGATCAAGGAGGATGATCCACCAGTTTTCAACCAGCCGCTCAATACCAGCTCATGTCCGCACCACCGCATCGCAAGGCTGCTATACAGCATCTCGCTCTCTTTACTACTTATCATCGCAGTCCCGGTCATTGCCCTCAAGGCATTAACCTATAGCTTCATCGAGGACAATCGTATGACCGGATTTGAATACCAAACAACAAGAAGGAATGGCGACCCCGGCGAGTCCATCATCATGGCCGCTTTACCACGGATGCTATACGCAGTACCAGCAAAGCTCGCCATTATCGCCGGTACGGTCAGCATATGTCTAGCCGCCGCACACCTAGGATTCGTCGCAACAGACTGGAAAAAGGGCAACAGGGTACGTCTACACCTACAAAAGACGAAAGACCGCTTCCGACTAACATCCGTACAGACGCAATCATATGCCTTCCGTCGCAACATAATGTTCCTCCACATCACCAACGCCATCCTCGTCCTCTTCGCCCTCGTCTCCATCTACGTAACCCACAAAAACACCTCCCACTTCCGCGAAGGCTTCGTCAACTTCCGCGCCTCTCGCATGAACGACACCACTTCCGCCTCTACCCCCACCCAACAATCCCCGGCCTTCTTCCGCTACAACTTCGGCACTTTTGACCTCGAAACCTGGGCTTGTGAGCTCGTGGGTGTTGAAGGTGCGGGTATGGTACGGGAAGACTATGGCATGCAATGTGGGATTGAGATTGCTGGAAGAGCGGTTATGGTGCCTTTTGTGGTTGTTGCTTGGGGGGTTGCGGCGATCGGGCTTTGGGGGTTTGTGGGGGGTGGGAGGAGGGGGCCCGATGGGGAGAGGATGAAGACGGATGAGGTGGGGTTGGAGATGGGGAAGATGAATGCTACCGACGATTGATCGTGGTACTATTCCTTCTTGCCAGCTCGGACGGCAAGGCGTTGGTTCGTTACCCTCGGCATCTTCTGGCGTTCTGGTGTATTCGCATCTTTTTCGGTAATGTTTTCTTCTTCATTTCCTTACCTCGCGCATACACGACAGCGACGATACCCTTTACGCTCTTCCATTTTGCTACTTTTCGCGCTCTGCCCTTTTGCTGGTCAAAGGTCTTGTCTTTTTCTTCTTTTCCCGCTTGTTTGGATCAAACGTCGCCAAGTGCTGGGGCGTTTCATATTTTATTTTATTGCATGGCATCGCATGGCATAATGATCAGTTTGTTATACACCACCACTTCATCTCCACTTTGCCTTCCAATCGACGTGTTTAGGATGTCACGACGGCCACAAGAAGCATGAAGCTCATGAGCATATGATATGAACTAGATTCATTGGGGTATCAAGAGTAAGTCGGCAACCCCAAACTCCTTCCCCGTCCAGAGCTCCTACCCGTGCGAAAAGCAGTGTACCTAAGCTCTCCCCATTAACAGAGAGCTATAGAGTACAAATGAAAGAAATACGCCCCAACCAAACCCACCGAGACCAGGCAACCCGAACGCCAACCTCCACTTCATACAAAGAAAAATTGAACAGGCCTGAAGCATACATTAGACCAACAATGAGCAGATATAGAGGCATAGCGTCAATGTAGGCTCCAGGGTGTTCAGCTTTCCCCTTGAATAGGGTCCCTCAGGCCATGTCCAGTGTCGGGAACGCAGCGAACGAAGAGAAGCTACCAGTCAGAAACACAGGCGCCGCCATAGCCGTAGTCAGACTCGGCACCTCCATGGGCGTAGCAAGACTCGGCACTTCCGTAGGCGGAGCCAGACTCAACACTTCAGCCAGTACATCTCGCTTCTCCTCCACCGTGACGGTAGCCCAGTGAATGACTGGACTTCCACTTCCGCTTGCAGCTCCGCTTGCAGCTTTACCAGCAGCTCCACCGGCGCCTCCACCTGCACCTCCGGAAGCGGTCGGCTTGCTCGAGAAAGGCTTCAACGGGGTGACTGTTTGCTTCATCCGGCCTTTGATAGTGGTAGTCTTCGTGGTGATCTTGCCGGCAGAGCAGTTGATACCGGGTTGACCCTCTGTACCGTTGACTCCAGGGCAGAAACACGCCGCTCGTCTGTTTGCCAAGTCGGTCTCTGCTTCAAGGGCCTTCTCGCCTTCGGTCTTCTCGGATGAAGGGTCCTTCTTCGGGTCGTTTGTATTTTTGTCGCCGTTCGGAGTGCCGGTGGGGTCTACATTGTTGGTACCGTCTGAAGTGCTGTTGCCACCAGCAGTGCCGTCACCATCTGGGGTCTCGTCGTCTTGGATAAAGTCCGCATACTCGTCCTCGTCTGAGCCGACCTCCTCTTCCTCTTCTCCATTTGCTTCGGCTTCGGCTTCGGCTGCCATCTCATCTTCGTCGTCGAACTGTTCGCAGAGGTCGTGGGCGGACTGCTCAAAACACCATATGTCGCCAAGGAAGCAACCTTGGTCGTTAGGCCGCACTGAAGCGTCGACCGTGTACTCGTAGTGTTGCTCTGTGATCTGGTAGACGGCGTCGACGATACAATATGGCCCGTTGCAGTCACCTTGCCGCGTTATGTTCTTGGGGGTGTTCTTCGGGTAGCGTGTCTCGTGAGTAAGCAACTCGGTTGTAGCTTGGACGATGGGATCACGGGTCGGGGTCGGTTGAAACGGCGGCTCTGGGGCTACGTCTGGGTCGTCAGGCGTACCTGAAGCCGCCGGTGCGCTCGATGAGGTCGTAGACTCTTCGTCTACCAACTGTGCCGGTCCCAGTGGCCAGTGCTTCCACCCCTTGGCATGACAATGGCGGCCCCAAGCCTTCTTCATGTGCTTTGCTGGCTTGTCGTCTTTGCCAAGGCCTAGTAGAGACGCCCAGCTACCCACATGGTCACACTTGCCTCCACAGATCTTCCCATAGTTGTTGAAGTTGAAGAAGCCACCTTCTTTTACAAAGAACTTCGTGGCTGCCGTAGTCCAATTGTTTGCTTGTTCCCAGAAGCTCCCCACCTGTGGGTTCATGGCATCGCAGAGACAGGGTCCGTTGACCTTGTGCTTACTCTTGATACTCGAGATGGCCTCACCGTTCCAGCTGTGGCAGATGGGTATGCGAAATGTGCCTGGTACATTCCCGTAGTCGTCAAGGTACGTGGTATTGCCGGCAAACGAAGTGATGTTGATGGCTGGAATAGCGTACTCGTCAAAGTCAGAGTCAGAGTCAGAGTCGGTGTCAGAATCAGATGATGACGATGCGTCATGCACCCACTCCGGTTGCAACGAGCTAGGTCTGTGTACTTCAACCCACCACAGGGAAGATCGGACGACGTCTTGGAGCCAGATCCCGTGGAATGGGTGCGTCGTGTTGAGGTATTCCAACCCTGGAGGGGCCCGTAGCTTCTTGTCGTCGTAGTTTGAGATGGCATAAACCCAGTATGACCGTTCGGGCCGTTCGGTCAGGCAGACTTTGAGGTCTGCTGGCCCGCGGTCGTCGCTGTCGCAGTCCCCGCTTTTGACCAAAGACTCGACGATGTATACGCCTTCTGTCTTCCTGCACACTGTCAGACTTTGCTCCTGAAGATTACCGCCTAACATACCATAAAGCGTTGACGATCGTTGCGTAGGATCTCATCTCGATCATGAAAGATGCCCATGCTCGAAATCCAACATTTGAACCATAGAAGAACAAGGACCTGTACAGGTGCACTATATTGTGTCCGTCTCGAGTGGTACCGCCTGTGGTGATGATTTGCATCGCATTCTGCGCCTCTTCGGTGGCGGAAGTGTCGAGTAGCGCCAGCTCGCCTTCTACCGCGCTGAGAGTCTTCTCAAAACCTTTACTGTTCAACGTTAGTATCGTGATCTCCACAAGCTGTGGTGTTCATCTCACATGTCCTTCTTGTGATTGATCTCTTTGACGACCTCCTTCGTTAGACCTTGCAAGCCTAGATAGGCCGCGCTGGCGATAGTCCATTGCTCTGTGAGGTTTTAGCATATATAAGGATCATGGCGATGCTGTTACATACTCTGCAAGGGTCCGATGAGTTCGCCGTTAAAGAGTTTCTGAGGCGCTCTCCAGGTACTCAGTCGGCCGTTGTTGCGTGCCAATGTAGTGAATGTATTGATCGAGCGCTGCCAAAATGACGCTGACCTCTGCCCCCAAAGGAAGCGATTCAGGACGTTCGCAGTGTTGGTGGTCTCATAATTCAGAACGTTCATGCCTGCACCAAGTAACCCGAAAACTGCTGTGATGATACCAAAGGCCAGTTCCATCTGTGCTATGCGCCTCTGCTTCTTGGCTTCCTTCTTGGCCGCTGCATCCTGCTGCTCATCGGCGTACGTGAACATCTTGACAAGATTTTCGATATCCTCAAGGATGTGGCGCCAGTTGTCCTGCGTCGCTTCGCTCATGATGTGGAAGGAATGGTCGAGACCGGATACGAATTCGAAGAACATCATAGCTCGGCGCTTCGTGACTTTATCGTGCTTTTGTCCGATGTCTTTGCAGCTCGGAGCCTATTGATTTGGTTAGCGAAACTCATTGCAAACAAGCTTAAAGAGACTCACCCTGCACATTCCCAATCCATCGCAGAGCATGCTGCTAGGGGCCGCATTCGGGGCATAACGCTTGAGCATGTATGCGGGAAATGTCTCCTCATCTGTGGCTATACCCTGCTCGTTCTTTTTCAACGATAAGTAGTCCATGAACTTATGGTTCAGCCACAATGAATCTTCGACACGATTCTCCCTCCACACGCGTATGTTGATTCTTGGAAAATCGCAATCCGTATGCCAGGTTGGAAGGGACTCGTTCTTGTAATCGCAATAAGGGTTGTTATAACAGTCAAGCCCACGGCGATCTTCTGGCGGTTCTGAGGTGACATTCGTCAAGCTACTATTCAGCGACGCCATGGAGCCTAGGGTTGGAGACCCAACAGCAGTCTTGAAGAATAAGAAAGCGCCACATATCTCGCGGAGAACTCGCATCGTGGATGCTTCTTGTGCAGGCGAGTGAGGTGGGCTCGATACTGCCCATGCGTATTATGAACAGCGATTCGAATCGATGACGGTCAGCGATGATGTGTCGGAGATATGCGTGCAAGCTGTGAATACCAGTGACTAGTCACAAGCTCATAACACGAGAACAAGATGCATAGAGAGGGATACATCGATCTAGTAACACGAGAATTGACATATCCAATGATGATGTAGCTTCCCGACTGATCGTTGAGTTTCAAGCACGCTGGCCGCAGACAGAGTATTGATGTATGATCCACATATGTCTCTGTGCGAATAAAACGCCGTTGCTGTCCACGATGAGGCTCAACAGTCTTCAATAGACATTGATGTGACTGGCATAACTTGTACGGCAATGTGATCGACTCGTCAGACGTTGGATTACAGGGTAGATACTGATCCCAATGTCGGTTGGGTGCCCGTTTCGCGGCATGCCTAGGTAGGTTAGTTCTCTAAGTTGTTGAAACCCTGAGTACCTGCATGTGTCTCGGAAGCAGGGTCGAGGAGCTGATCCAGGGTTTTGCGTCAGCTCTCGGGAAAGACATCCATTCACAGTATACCGCGGAGCTCGGGTATGCGGAAGCATCTGTTCCTATTCGAGGCCCATAATGCCATAACATACCTTCATCACTCACAAGATAAGAATGATGATGCAGCGTTGTACATGCGCAGCGGTCTTGGAAGTGTTGACGTAGTAACCGGCAACCATATGGATGTCATCGCGTTGACTGATGTGGTTCCTAGTACCGCCAGCGAAGAGCCGAATTCCGGGTAAGTCCACTTATTGGGAGAGTGTGTTTCGGTAATGAAGTCTTGAAGGTGCCGGATTGATGTTGTGGATGCAGTGTCAAATGTCGCGGAAGATTCGGGAACGGCCCACTCTTGGCACTTGGCATTCCATCGATGACCTCATTCGCGATTACTCGACTTACCAACGACGAA